GAGGGAGAGTCTATTATCAGCTGTTATCCGAGACAACGTCGTACGCCAACAGCTCACGCGTATAAAATATAAGTCGACCGATTAATAAAGTCAACACGAACGCAAACTTATCTTATAACCAAAATCGGGCCGACAAGAAATCGCAATAGTACATGTCAAGTGTAACACATAATATTTAATTGTGATCTTGTAAGAATTTACTAAAGTTATTAAAGTGTTATTTTGTATTGAGTGGTTTATTTGTGCGTCCTGGTCCTCGGCGAATCCCCTACCTGTATCCTTCACCCAAGGGTACAACACCATACTTAAACTATAATAAGCATTTAAGGCCGGGAAACACATTAATGTTCCAAACTTAAAAATAAGAGAGAGAACCGATTCGAATAAGAAGAAGAAGAAGAAGAAGAAGAAGAAGAAGAAGAAGACGAAGAAGAGGAAAAGGAAGAGGAAGAGGAAGAAGAAGAGGAAGAGGAAGAGGAAGTGGAAGAGGAAGAAGAAGAAGAAGAAGAAGAAGAAGAAGAAGAAGAAGAAGAAGAAGAAGAAGAAGAAAACGTTATTCGCTCACTAAACCGTAGGGAAGAAAATAACGATTATTGAGAAATCTTCGTTTTGCCAATACCGGTGCGTACGTTTTTGTTTCATTTCGCGTTACAATCTCATGAAACGCTGTGCGACGGATTGCGCTAAAACGCAGATTTATATTACATCATGATGTACTTCCTCTTCTTCTTCTTCTTCTTCTCCATACCTTTCTCTCTCTTTTTCTATTATTAATCTCCTAATACTATCGAAATTTACCCTAAGCGAGTTCTTATAATTAAGCGTTATTCCTTTTGCTTTACAAATTTCATGCAGGCGATCTTCCGGTGTACGAATAACGTACGCATAGAATTTCGGGCCAGCCGACACGAACGACTCGATATAACTACCGCGGGCGTAGCTGTCGAGATTGTCGGTCATATCCCGCAAAAAGTTACCCGTACGTGGCTCGTACTCGTTCGGATCGCCTGTACTTATATACGAGGGTCGTTTGAAAAGTTTTGAGCCTCATCATGAAGGTGGCGTTACTCGTCAAAGCCATTCTGGTATTATAATCGTGATACTTACGAAAGATATCTGTGACAATTGTGGCCACTTTGGACGTTCAGTTCTTGTTTGACAATCATTTGTGTCGTCATTTTGTAAAAATGGAAAAAATTGAATATCGTGCTATAATTAAATTCTTGCATTTGAAAAGCAATACGTCTACGCAAATTAAAGCCGAGTTGGACGCTGTTCACGGGGACTCTGCCCCATCATTTGCCACCGTGAAAAGATGGGTAGCTGAATTTAAACGTGGTCGTACCAACTTAGCTGATGTTGAGCGTTCGGGACGGCCAACGACTGCGACCACCACCGATAACATCGAAGAAATTCATCAAATGATAATGGACAACCGTCGAATTAAGATTAGGGAGATAGCAGAGGCTGTTGGCATATCAAAAGAACGTGTTTGTCATATATTGACTGAAGAATTAGGCATGCGTAAGTTAACCGCGCGTTGGGTGCCGCGCTTGTTCACTCTAGATCAAAAACGCATTCGAATGAACATTTCTAAGGCCTTGTTGAGCGGTTTAAGTGAAACGAGTCGGATTTATTGCGTCGATTAATAACGGTTGATAAATCTTGGGTCCACCATTTCACTCCTGAAACGAAAGACCAATCAAAACAGTGGACTGCGAAGGGTGAACCTGCTCCGAAGGAAGCGAAGACGGTTTTATCGGCGTGAAAAGTGATGGCGACTGTTTCTTTGGGACAGTCATGGAATTGTGTTGATCGACTATCTTGAAAAAGGTAAAACAATAACAGAGATGTACTACGCATCATTGCTTGACAAGCTAAATTTAGCAGCAATTTATAAAAAACGACCGCATTTGAAAAAGAAGAAAGTGCTGTTCCATCAAAATAACGCACCGTCTCACACTTCGACGGTCGCTATGGCAAAAATTCACGAATTGCGGTTCGAATTAATTGACCATCCACCGTACTCACCAGATCTGGCCCCCAGCGACTTTTTTCTGTTTCGTAAGCTCATAGTTTGGTTCGGAGGACAGAAATTTTCATCGAACGAGGAGGTCATCGCATCCGTAGACGCCTATTTTGCAAAGCAAGACGCTCAGTATTATTTGAATGGATTAAAAGGGTGGGAGCATCGCATGAAAAAATTTATCGACTTAAAAGAAGACTATATGGAAAAATAAAATTGAATTTGATTGAAAAATTACTTGTTTCTATGTTAGGCTCAAAACTTTTCAGACGACCCTCGTATGTACAGGAATCTGTATCATAATACAATACTCGTCTATTCAATAATTCGAAATGTTCGTATAATTTCAGCCGCGCCAGCGCCGTCGTGAATGCCGCGATGACGACATTGGTCTGCGGAGAAGCTACGACCGCTTCTTCTCGCGATCTCTACGAATATTATCTCGTCGTTGACGGGTAATGTATCGGTTATTTCGTCTTCTGGACTCGTGAGGAAATCTGCCAATCGTTGGTAATTTTTCACGATCTCGGTGTTAGGCAAATTGGATCGTCGACCGAATTTTCCCTAAAAGGAATTTAAGCAAAGCTTTGCAACCGAATGTAAACCTGGATTTCGAGATGTTATTTTTATCGAGAACGATACCCTCGGTTTCCTCGTATTTCCGAAGATATCGCTCCTTAGCTTCGTCATCCACGCATTTGTTCGGCCATCCGCTAGTTTCCTACTTCAATTGCAAAAAACTATTGATATACCCGGTAAACAATCCACCCTGCCGCGTATCGGAATCATATTGCGTGACCTTGTATTGCCAAATTTCGCTCACATCCGACACGCGATAACCTTTCTCGATGGTTTTGCTTAATTCACAGGATACCCTCGAATTCACGCTCGGCGAGACTGTGAGTACACTCGGCTTGTGAGAACATTTCGCAGCAACTCCGACACAGCGCGAACAACAATTTGCCACGTACGCGATACGGGAGTACCGGATGAAAGAGATCGCGCGGAGGGAGTACTTTACAACGAATGAGACCTTCGATCGAGTTGAAATTGAAATCTGGAGCTACGCCGATTAACTCGGAACATTCCTCTCCGATGTAGATCTTTGGGTAACTGCTCGGAAAAGCATCCGTTTTCAGTACATAGGGATACAGAGAGCATACGTGTATGTAACGTATTTTCTCCGTTTCCACAACATCGCATCGGATTGCTATATTCCCCGTTCGGCCACCGAAAAATGCATCGCGCGGATTGAGAGGTGAGTTCTTTATTATCGGAGCATTTTCAAGAAAATCGCGCAACTCATTATTCTTACGTATTTCCCGGTCGAAATCGCACCATTTCTCCATCATCAGGTATCCCCGTCGTAGAAGGCGCCATGTCGCTGCGAGAGTTCGCTCGTAGCGCGTGTCGATCGTTTCGCCATGATCGGTAGAAGAATTGAGTTTTCTTTCGCGATTTATTCGGAAGCATGATGGACAACCATGCCAAAAGCATCCGTGAAATTGTAACAAGTAACGTCGCGTCTCGTTCTCCAAATCAGTTTTATAATATCCATCAACGGGCGTATCGGCAATCCGAAACTCGCGCCCTCGCCCCGCGTGAATTATCTGTTGATTAAGCTCAGGCTCTATCCACACCAACCACTTCACGGCTTTGCGCGAGTGATTATCTCTATATCTTGGAATGACTCCTATTTCTTCCCCGCGTAAAAAGTTTCTGCGAAAAACTTTCATACACGTAGAAGCGATAGTCGTGCATTCCACGAACGAACACACGCTCCCGCGTTCAAGAAAGATTTTCCTGAAAGCCAAGCACACCCGTCGAAGGATATCTACGTCGTTACGACAATATTTGACTATTTCGCGTTAAAAATCAAAAATGAAGCCGGATTGTGTCATCTCGGCGTGCCATTTTATAAAATGCTCGCGTTCCTCGGGTTTCATTTGTTCAGGCGAATAATACCGTGCGCTAGGTATTGGTCCGATATATGCTTTATGCTCTTTTGTATTGAATAAATGAGGAAAGATGCTTTTACCTGATGTATCCTGCAGCCCGAAAGCCTTAGGTAAATCAGAAAATCGCATCGGCATATAATTTGAGCTATCAATAAATTTCGTGTTACCGACCATCATGATAATTTTCGTCCCGTTCAAAATTACCCGTGGCTCTTGACTTATGCCAGATTGTTCTATGATGTATGTTAAGATAAATTGAGCATCAAACGCTTTCGCATTATGCGCGATACAAATTATTTTGTTAAAATATTTTGACGTTCGCGTTGCGAAATCTACAAATTCTTTTACCGGATCATAGAGAAAAACAAATTCACGCACCCTGCACCAACGACATCGTGTCGATATTTCCGCGCACAAATTTGTTACGCGACGCAAAGAGTGGATATGTGTATCTTTACGTTCTCCGTTCCTTCGAGCGTCTCGTCTTGTCGGGTTTCGAAGTCATAGAACACGAGTGCGACGAGATCTTTTTTACTTCGCGCATCATTCGCACTTTCGACGTCATTCTCGTTGTTTACCTGGTTCTGTTCTCGCATTGTCCCAACACTCGTCCCCTCTCCGGGGTCTTCGACTGTGACTATACGACGAAGAGGCTGTATGTAACAAGAATGATTCGAAGTTTGCAACAAGCGACAAATTTTACAAAAGATAACGTCGCAGTCGTGACGCGAATTCGATTTCACGAAGCGTCCGCAGTCGTTGCAAATTCTAACGGATTTGCAAACGCTTGCGTTCGATTTTCCGTCGTGAGATCTTTCCGCACGGTGACGCTCGAAACAGGGATTTCCGAAGAACGTACGATTACACGAATCGTACCTAACCAACTCGGCGCACCAACCCGGAACCATCGCACGACGGAATCGCGTAACATCGCGGACATTTTTTCGCGCAACGATGCTCTCTATCGTTCCGATACCCGGTGTTGCACGCCACGCAATATCCTCCTCGAGAACCGACTGCGGCTTTCATATTTAAAATTGGCTGAGAATGCCTCGAATGCTCGTAATACATTATATTTAAACGGAATGAAGGTTCACGACCTGGGGAGAAGAATAACGCGCAGCCTTCGTACAACGAATTCTCGCCGCGACCAAAAGTACTGAAATTGTAAACAATTATCGCGATATTTTCCGCAGCGAGAAACCGTTGAAATTGCTCAATTTCACGAATTCCGCACCCATTCTCGGGAATCGTTATACCCGCAGAAATCGTTAATTCTTTAGCCAACTCACGTTGTAAAGAAGAACGTTGCTGTCTCACAGATTCCCATCTTTCATGTAGTTCCCCTAACTGCCCGCGATCGTAATGCATGCGTGCCGCTACAAGCGAACGGGGAAAACATAAATTGTCGAAATTGGCAATTTGTAAAATTGAGCGTTTGGCTACGTCTTCGCGCGTTAATCGATTGGACTGACGTCCGCGACCGGCAGATACCGAAACTCTGAAAATGCGTACCGTGAAATTTTCCGCGATATCGATTCCTCCAGCACTTTGCGCCACCGAACTCACGAGCCCCCATATGTTTTCGTGGATTTGGTCGCGTGCTGGACGAAACGACAATTCCGCTGGATCACGCGCTAGATTAGCCGACTCAAATGATAACCCGACGTAATCGCTCGGTTCGCACAAATGTACGGCATACGTTCGGATTTCACGAAACGCGTTTTCTAGCCATTGAGCCATATCGCTACCTTCAGGAGGCGGCCGTATCGCGAAAGTCGCTTCTTTCCCTATAATCATGAAATTCCTAAATTGCCACGAGTTTTCCGCCCGTAAATCTATATAATTATTCATCTCGTGCTACCGACGTCGTCGCTCCTGTTGCTGATGCTCCTGCTCTTGATCTTCATTTTGAGCCTGACGAGGTGTCGGTGGTGTCGGCGGCAACAGTGACAGTGACTGCGTCGGCGGCGGCGACGACGTCGGCGATGGTGTCGTCGCCGGTGTCGACTGACGGGACCGCGGGGGTGACGCTAGTTGTTGATCTCCCCTTTGTGAAGACGAAGGGCTGGACAGCACCACCACCCCGCACCAACGACATCCTCCACCAAAAAAGTTAAACAAAATATTTATTTAAATTTCGTTGACTTTGCTATATTATGCCTAAAGCTTATCCCCCTCCATGTGTCATAATGTAACAGCAAAGTAAGGTAACTCACCTTTAGCTACTTCATATGATCGTGAGACGGGGATATTTTTTCGCTCGAGAAGCCTCTCTAATATTCCGGTGACTGCGGTAAAACCGGTGTGTGTGTGTGTGTGTGTGTGTGTGTGTGTGTGTGTGTGAGAGTAGGAAACTTTCAATAGAAAAATATACGTTTACGAAAAATTTCTCGAAACAACGGGTTAAAAGTAAATAATAAAATATTATTACTTCGACGTAATTGTCACCCTCCTCTTCTCCGACTTCCTGCGTCACGTCCTGTGTTTCCGGAATTTCGTCGACCATATCAGCGATTTCCTCGTCGCCGGTATCATTGATAACATCTTCATTCGCCTCATCGATGATATCACCAACATCTTCGTCGTCCTCGTAGTCGGAAATATCGTTGTCAGTTTCTTCTTCTTCTTCTTCTTCCTCTTCTTCATTTTCGCGTGCTAAAAGTAATTTTTACTGCTAATTTTCTTTTTTTCCAGAACTAATTCTATGTTTCGTTAACCGATTTTTTAAACTTATGCGACATTGAAATAATGGCAACTGACGGGTTCCTTGACCTCTGCAAATCTCCATTATCCTCGACATCAACATCATCATCATTATCTAAAATAGAAATGTTTTTATTTTTCTTCTTATTCCAGTAATATTATATGAACTATTAGGTGTACAATTTTGCTTCCGCCATTTTCCTATAGATGGCTTTAGCGGTAAGTGGTGGTCGAAAAAAATAAATCATAGACGTCATACGATAAACATGGGCATCTGTCAACCCCATAGAAACATTAGTCGATTTGTGTCTGCATCATAAAGTTATTCTCGATAGAAAATGTCAGTTTACGAGCCAAATTCTCGTCATTTGCAGGTTTTAATTTTCTGCTTCAATATGAAGAAATGTGCGGCTGAGGCTCATCGAATACTCTCCAATACTTATGATGAGGCTGCTATTAGTGAAAGAACGTGTCGTGAGTGGTTTCAACGTTTCATGAACGGTGGTTTTGATGTCAAAGACCGGTATAGCGGTGGAAGAGAGAAGGTTTTCGAAGATGTAGAATTGGAGGCATTACTTGATCAAGACTCGTGTCAAAATCAAAAAGAATTGGCACGATCATTGGGAGTGACTCAACAAGCCATTTCAAAACACCTCAGAACCATGGGAATGATTCAGAAGCAAGGAAATTGGGTGCCGTACGAGTTGAAGCTAAGTGATGTTGAACGCCGTTTGTTTGCTTGTGAACAGCTACTTGAAAGGCAAAGACGGGAGGGATTTCTACATCGCATTGTAACTGGGGACAAAAAATGGGTTGATTACGATAACCCCAAGCGCAGAAAACCATGGGGAGTTCCCGGTCATGCTTTCACGTCGATGGCCAAACCGAATATTCACGGCTCCAAGGTCATGCTCTGTATTTAGGGGGACCAGCTTGACGTAGTGTATTATGAGCTGTTAAAACCGACTGAAACAATCACAGGCGATCGGTATCGAACGCAATTGATGTATTTGAGCCGAGCAATGAAAGACAAACGCAATACAACGAGAGACACGATAAAGTGATTTTGCAGAATGACAGTGCTCGACCCCATGTTGCGAAAGTGGTGAAGACATACTTGGAAACGTTGAAATGGGAAGTCCCCACCCGCCGTCTTCTCCAGACGTTGTTCCCTCTGACTATCACTTGTTTCGATCAATGGCACACGGCCTGGCGACCGGCACTTCCGGTCTTATAAAGAAGTAAAAAATTGGATCGATTCGTGGATCGCCTCAAAAGATGACCAGTTTTTTCGACGCGGGATTCATACGCTGCCCGAAAGATGAGAGAAAGTAGTGGCCAGCAATGGAAAATACTTTGAATCATAAATGTATAACCAATTTTTTACAATAAAGCCTCGAATTTCGGAAAAAAAACGGCGGAAGCAAAGTTGTACACCTAATATATTTTACAGTAGAATATTACTTAAATCATCTTATTCATTTCGATGAGAGGGATGCTTTGACCATTGCGTGGAGGCGGCGCATTATTCGGCGGTTCGATTCGCGCTCTTCCTAGAAAAAAATAAAAATATTTTATTAAAAGAAATTTCCAGCATTTGATCAACATTTTTATTTTTCCAACTTACGCGCAGGAATACCCTCGTCTTCATCCTCCGCGTGACATCGTCGTCACCACAGACTCAGATGCCCACGTCATATGAATTGCATGGGATTAACGTGCGCCACTTGACGATTTGACGCTAAAAATAAATATTATAATTTAATTAATAGTAATAATAATAAATCTTTTTTTTTAAATGTATAATTTTGTTTCGGCTCAGCTTACCTACTCCTACTCCTGTGTTACCGTTGATCCTCTGACGGAACTCATCAATATGACCATCAGCGTCATCCTCCTCATGATTGAAACACTCGCGCACTTCTATGTGCCGCGAGATTGTTAGCGTCATCACACTATCACAGTGCCTCAGTTTATGCATAACGCATAGTAACGTACTGGAGCACTCTCGCGTAAAGTTCTCGAAAACTTTGTAATTGTTTTCATTTTCGTCTTATAATTTCAGTATATATCCTCTTGCAATCAATTTTTGATTAAGATTGCAAGCGACTATAAAAAATTTTGATAACAAATCACGAAGAGCCGCACTCGCAACAAGATTTATAGAAAGCACGCTCTCGGAAAACAGCGACACAACGAGAAGTTGAAGCCAGTCTAGAGTTAAATTATCAACCTACGCACTATTTATTCACTCGAAAATACGCTAAAAAAGCGTTCAAAAAAGCATTTCCTTACCTCCTTCTCCTAAGTTTGTTTAGCTGGTAACTAAGGTTCTTCATATTTTTTTGTAAATATTCTTACTTAGAAAGTCGACTATTCCTTATATGTTAAACCCTCTTCTAAGTTAAATTATCTTTTTTTTCCTTACCGTGTAATCTACACAAAATTTATTCTTTTGTCAAGGCATATTTCATTTTCCAATAATTTTTGTAATGCTCAACGGACAGGATATCATAAAACAAATTTGTACGCTCCTGTGTGTTTGTTCTTGCTTACCTTTCATTCCCAGTCTTCTTTGAAAGGTTATCACTTTTTTTTCTTACAGAATAATTTAAAAGAATTTTTTTGTTAATTTGGATAGAATCCATTCTTCAATATTATGTATAACTCAACAGTCGAAATATCGTAAAACGATCTTACGTTCCTGTTCCCTCTTGTTTACCTCTCCCCTGCCAGTCTTCTTTGAAAGACTGTCACATTTTTCTTACAGAATAATTTAAAAGAATTTTTTGTTAATTTGGATAGAATCCTTGCTTCAATATTTTGTATAACTCAACAGTCGAAATATCGTAAAACGAACTTGTACGTTCCTGTTCCCTCTTGTTTAGCTCTCTCTTATCAGTCTTCTTTGAAAGTCTATCACACTTTTCTTACAGAATTTTAAAGATCTTTTTTTAATTTGGACAGAACCCTTTCTTCTATGTTTTTATAATTCAACAGTCGAAATATCGTGAAACGAACTTGTACACCCCTGTTCCCTCTTGTTTACCTCTCCCCCTGTAAGTCTTCTTTGAAAGACTATCACATTTTTCTTACAGAATAATTTAAAAGAATTTTTTGTTAATTTGGCCAGAATCCTTTCTTCAATAATTTTTATAACTCGACAGTCGAAGTATTGTAAGACGAACATGTCCGTTCTTGTTTTACCTTTCCCTTTCAGACTTTTTTAAATTTTAACGGAAAAATATAGAAAAATCTAGGCCTTTTGCTTTTTCTTCTGCGCGCAGAATAATTTTTGTTAAGTAACATCGGCGAGGGGGAGATGATCTCGTCGGTATCGTCACGAGTCCGCTTCATTCGAGTCTCGTCGTTCCTAGCTCCAACTTCGTGAGCAAGCAAGCAGTACTGTACTTCTTAGTTTTGACCAATCTATCTTGTATTAATCGTGTCGTTTGGTGCTACAGCGAAGTAAGATCAATGGACAGTTTAAAAGTCGCCAATAATTCGCACGAGCAAATGTACTCCAACCCGAATTCTTTCAAGCCGCGTAACAACAACGTGGGAAGAAACATACGATTTCATATGCTGTTTACGACAACGTATGGTCTCAACAACTTCCATACGAAGACGATTCATGTGGGTTTGCAAAGAACGATCGAGGAAATCTTCAAGCTTCTTGTAAAATTGAGCAGAAACAATGCTGACGGTATGTATTTCGACGCCGAGAGTTGGAAACAATTTTAATACAACATGGGCTACATGAACGAATATTTAACTAGTGATAGCCGAACGAAAACGAATTCCGTTGTCATAAAAAATATCTCTATCAGTTTTGCCACATCTTACGGTGCGAAATCAATATTATTGGCGTATAAAGACGAAGAAGAGGAACATCTTTCTACGGAAAATATCAGCGGGAATCTCCGAAAAGAAGAGTTCGCGTCCGATTCAACGCCGCTGTCGAAGAAATGCAGAACCTACACAGTGGTTATTGTAATGCAGAAGACTACCTTTTTCGGTCTGCAAAACGTTGTGAAATGTGTTGACGCTCATTTAAAACAATTAGAATCTTTAATCGATAATGTTAACAAGTGTGCGCAGTATTTAATTGGAGAAATCGAGCTGAAACTTCCTGTAAGTTATGTTAATCAGGAAATTATAAAATTAAAGCTACGGGGAAATTACGACGAAATTGAGCGCAATGTACGTACACAAATTAATGATTTAACTTTTCTTGATATGTATTTTAATATAATATTTTTGGAATTAATTTTATTGCGGTATAATGAAATTTCTTATATAATCCTCTCGAATCGTGAATCTTTCGCTTAATGGTTCATTTTTAGATTATTCTTATATGTATATTCCTATGAAGAAAAATTGGTATCAATAAATACATCTTTATATCATAAACTCTTGTTTGTTTCTTAATCATTCGTTCGCTTCCAACCGACATCTTCTTTTTCATATTTTTGTCAGAATTAGATTAAGGGGTAACACCACAGTGAACATCCGAAAACCTAGGGTAACTTTGGGAATTTTTTATAGTTAACTAATAAAATAAATAGAAGTTCGGTTTGAAGGCTTTTAATGTACATATTTAAAGGTGCTAGAAAAAATTTTTTAATTTTTTCGCGTTAAGATGGCGGTGCTGGAACTCTGCACGTGAGACTGCTTTTTTTCATCGGTCTCCACGACTTGCAGCAGAAGTGTACACTTCCACTAAGGACAAAAAGCAAAATTTTTTTATAATCTATATTAAATTTGCTAGAGAAGTACACACGTATATGTTAAAATATTGATTTTTATAGAAACATGAACATTTCAAAATAAAGTTTTATTTTCACTCAAAAAATTCAATAAAAAAGTACTTGTAACCAAAAAAGTTTTTAACTGCTCGAAAAAATCATGTGTACTTCTCTACAGAATTTAGTTTGGCAGCTACTGTAAAAATTTTGAGTGGATCAGATAAAATTTATTAAAGTTATACTGCAAGCCAATTAGAAAAATGTGGTCTCAAGAAAAACGCGTTTAAAGTTTCGAGTAACATTATTTCAAATTTAACTACAGAAATTTTTAATTTACTTTTACTCTGCGATGCCTGGACCATATAACTGTCTTTCCACATTAATATTTTCTTCCTCTTCTACTTTCCTGGAGGATGTGCAGGCTCTACGAGCGTCCTTAGCGGCATCCGTGAGCGAGCGCTCGGCAGCCTTGACGCGGTGCGCATCAGCCTCGACGCAGAAATTATGACAGTTATGACCCACAGTTGTTTGTAACATCTGCATAATTTCCATTAATCTTGATAGTCCATCATTAAAAATACAAGTTGCAATATTTGCGGCAATATCGACTATTTTTTTAACGCCTGAAACCGTTTTTGGAGCAATCGACTACACAGTCGAATTGAAGCTTTCATTATTGTTCTGCATAAAGCCTCCTAAACAACGATTGAGTAAGTCGTCCCTGCTCAAATCTTCATACACTGGCTTCAAGATATTGAAAATTTCTTGTGAAAGAGGCGCTTTATGCTGATATTCATGTAAAAAACGCTTCAATGGCGTCATGCCTTGTTTCAAAAAATCAGTTATAAAACCACTTAAAAAAATTTGTTCACGTATAAGATCAATTGCACCTTATTTTAAAGACTAAAGCATCATTTAAAAGAAAAAAAATTTTTTCGATTTTTTTTAAATTTCACAGTGGTGTTCCCCCTTAATAAAAACTTTTGTCATTTTTCGAAATAAGACTAACGCTAACGTAAAGTGCAAAAAAAAGAATTTATCTACACCGAGTAAATCATCCCAGCTCTGTTACAAACAGGCACGAACTTCTCCATTCCTATTTTCCTCCTGTCCTTCCAAACAAAAAAATCGGTCGCACAACCTTAAATAATAGAGAACTAAATAAGCGATAAAGAAAGACTCTCTCCAATGCGTCTAACCAGGTACGGATGCCGAGACGCGAAAAAAAAGCGAAGGGCTATAAATCATTCTCGCATTCCTCTCCGAAACTTGAACCTTTCCCCCTTTCCCCCCCTCCGGCAAAAAAACTGTCTCGGGGACCTATTTTCTCCACCTCCGCCATTTTCTCGCACTTGGCAGCTTTACATTTTCACTTTCACTCTCTCTCTCTCTCTCTCTCTCACTCAACGCGACTTCTCCCTCACCAATCGTAGCGCGGGCAGCCATGGAGCGAACCAATGGTAGCGTAGGCAGTCATGGAGCGAACCAATCAAAACGCGCCATTTAATTACCTCATTACTCCACCCTCGCGTCACCAACCAGTCAGAGCGCTCCCTTTTTCCAGACAAGCCCCTCTAGTTGTCTAGGGAGGAGTGGAGGGGGGATTTGTTTTGACGTCTAGGGGGGAAGAGGGGGTTTGTTTTGACGCCAGGGGTGGAGTGGTGAGGGTTTGTTTTGATCCATGGCTGTCCACATATTACTAGCGTGTTATCAGCGTAACACGCTAGACCGCAGCCAAGAGGCAGGAGGGTGCGGAGGACCTCGTCATAGATGAAGTTCTATAGGAGCAACCCCAGTACCGACCCCTGTGGAACTCCGCGCTTAAGTATATGACTCCCCAGCGTACCCACTCGATCCATATACTCTACGGATCTGTCCCGGAAATAATCCACTAGGACCTCACGGATGTAACCAGAAATCTCGTGGACGATCGCCGCTCTTCCGATTACGTCCCAGGGGATGGAGTTAAAGGCATCACTATATCTAGTGAGACAGCCAACATAATTCCGAGTTTATCGATAATCTATTTTAACACATACCCAGTCATTATTTAAGTTGGAACAACCAGTTGAACACTGGACACAATTCTCATCCACATTCTTGTACCTAAACCAGATAAGATTACAAAAAAAGAATGGAAATTAAAGGGAACTAAAGTGAATCAATTTCCGAAGCTTAGCGAGTTTATAAAATTTTTAAATGC